ACATTTATAATAGACAATCCAGATATTTGAAAAAAACCATATTTGATTAACATAGATCTCATGATACGCATCCGGGTATACTACATGATGGGTCTACTATCATGGAGGTCTTGTATACGGAAAAAAATCAGTTCACCCTAGCTGAAATTATATTAATGGACTGCCGAATGTGCTGAATGTATACTGGGTTTTGACAGCATTCTGTCAGTATTTTGCAAGCATTCTGCAAGTTCTGTTAATATTCGGCTAGTTAGCTAGTTGAATATTGGCAAATACTGACAGAATGCCATCAAAAACCAGTATACAATTTTAACTAGGGTATTCATGGTACATGTATACCTATATATTTTAAATTTTAAACAGATATATATTTACGTGACGAAATAATTCAAACAAATTTTTACAAGTTGCGTTAAAACATTAATGCTTTTATATAATGTCAATATATATAATATATATTTTAGGAAAAAGATATAATATTAAAATATAATTTTACTTATGATTTTATTTATAAGCTTTCGCGAAATTTAAATAGGTGTACAACCTTAATGGTTTGATATTTTAAGATTAAATTGCAAAAACTAATATTAATAATAGCTCTACAAGCAAAAGTTACGAAACTATTTTCAACTATGTTTTATGCGCAGTGAGACAATTTTGGAAATTTTTAACCGTTAGAATCGTCTCCAAAACGGGCCAGTAGATCAAAATCTATTCACCACGTATAAAAGATATGCTGTATATTAATAATTCCTACTATATTGGGCTATATATAAGTTTTTAACTATCCCCAGTCAATTAACTAAGCTGATTGAGACGGGGTATGAGATATACTATGAAATCCAAACTATATGCGATATCATACAAAAATTTAATATCTAAAATTTTAACATATTTTTTCGCAAAATTTAAGTAGCACAAATCTTAATCATCCAAAAATGGGCTAGTGAAAAATTATTCCCTGTAAATAATTTATATTAAATTACAAAAACTAGCTCACATGAAATAGCAGAATATAATGCTTCCAAATCCTCAGGAATGTCGTTGATTGTTTTAATTTTTGATTATTTTGCATACTAAGCATAGGAGTTCTTTGTTTTAATTTTTTGATTATTTTGCATACTAAGTATAGGTGTTCTTTCGAAGATTAAAGTGATCCTTACGGTAATTCTTTTATTAGTGAAACGTTACATTATTAAAAATTACAAGGTAAGCTTGGCAATTGATTTACATTAGCCAATAATATTAATGTCGTCTTATGAAGGTCAAGCAAGCTGCAGTGATCGCGGAAAAGATCCGAAAATTGTTGCACATATTTTATCTTTTACAATTTGAGGATAGGGATAGTTAATCCAATTTAATAATTTTTACTATAGAATTTGTTTACTGTAAACTCAAAATTGATTAACCATTTCGAAACATGATCATAAACAATAAGGAATGTCAAAATTAGAGTCAGAAATCAGTACAAATAAGCAATTGTTTTATTAATTTAATGCTGATATTTTACAGAAGGCCAATCTGGTTTCAATAATTTTAATCTTCAACGAATGCTATGAATGTTAGTATACATTTAAGTACAAAATAATAGAAAACGAATCATTCTTAGAGTATCGGTGCCTCACTGTACTGTAAGCGATCACCCATGTAACAATTCTATTTCATGAACTGAAAATCCATTTTCGACGATTCTGAGCTTAAACGAAACTTGCAATTTATAATATTTTTCTAAACAATTTGAAAAATGGTTTAGCCATTCTCAAAATATGGATAAAATTTACTGTACATTGTTTTCTAAATCTTTTCCGTGATCCCTCCCGCGATCATGTACTACTAGCACGCTACAATAAATAGTTCCACCTCTGTAATTTTGCCAATCAATATTGACTAAAACGATGCGTGAAAAAATTAAAAAAAAATGTAAAAAATGTGTGCTAAACCAGTCTTGGAACTAATTAAAAATATCGGAAAATGCATAATCTATGCTTTCATTTCCTAATATTGGTCAATTTTAATTAATGTCAAGTAATTTTGTGAGTCTAGGATTTACACATTTCTCAATTCGAAACAAGTATAATTTAGTAATACCTTTAAAAGTTTTAACTTTTTTAAATATTTAGACATACATAATGGTACAATATACAAATAAATTATCAAATAAATTGTCAAGATTACTTTGTATCTTTTATCATAATTTATTAATAAATATTAAAAAAGTTGCCAAACTAAATACGGCGTAGATCGTTTAAATTAATCTAAATCGTGTACAATTTAATCTAAATCGTGTACGATAAGTACATATTAGTTATTTACATATGTGCGTACGTATGCAAATCGATCGGAATTAATGTAAATTGAGTAACAATAAATTTAAGTGAGCTAATTTAAGAAGCTAAGAAAATGGTGTAGCAAATAACTTGTGAAACAATTAATAATTAATTCTATACATCGAAATAAACCGTAGACTTAAAAGATTGTGTCTAAGGATGATTTAATTTGAAGGAGTGTGATCGAACACATGAACAAATGTGCAGTAACAATAATTTGAGTTGCTTTTTTTCAAAAAAGTTTAGCCAACCTGAGACTACTCCATGAATAAAGATTTCGTTTGTTTTTTAAGTATTTTTTTGTCAGCGATCGTCAAGAGACAGTATAAGGCAATATGTATGCATATCAATACTGCAATAGAAAAAGTCTACTTGCTTTGCAGCTGTTTTCATAAATTTAATGTTTCCCGAAATCTCTTAGGAAACTACCAGGATACATATCTTTGAATTTTCGAAGATGATGACGTTTCCAAAGACATTTTAGTATTATGAAAAACAGAGTAAAATAAAACCAATATTATAATTCATGGTATCTTTTTCGTTTCGTGAATCCAAATTACTGTATCTCTCTCTAGTACACTCTAGTACACTCTAGTACACTAATGTTATACTACAAATAAAGCACAATATTTCTCTCTTAGTTTTAAATTGTAATATATATATATATAATAAAATATATTTAGATGGTATATGTGACGATTAAGTGCATTTTAAATAAGTAGATATTTTCAGGAAACAGATAACATATGAAATCTTAGAGAGATAGTTTTTTAATAGGATATTCATTCCTAAATGCATGCGGTTCTGGTGATTTTTGGAGGACCAATGTTGACCCTTAATAGCTTATATAAAGCTTTCCAAAAAATTCGTTATTAATTGTACCAATAAAAGTTATAGCACTCTATCGGCACGGGCCATGCTGGTTAACTAGATTATTTCTGCGCATGCGAACAAATCAGGTGTTAGTGGTTTATTTTTAGCTTTCTTTATATTATCCCGGTTATGATTTCATTCTCGAAGCAGTGAAATAAATATACAAGGACTATGTTCAAAACTGTGTTAATAATTAGGATGTTGGTTGGTTGTAAAATGCATCTGACTGCATTTGTCTTAAGTACAATGCACACAATTTATGCCTCGCATATAACTACGTATCAGGTATTCATATTGAAATTATTTTAATATTTCTATTATGAATTTAATTAACATTAATGGTGCCACAACAGTTACACATCAATTTCGATAAATGTGCGAAACTTTATAACGTCGCTCTTCATCTATCTTTCTTGTACAGTAAAAAAAATAGAAAATAAACTCGCCTCCAACTTGCGTTTAGGAATAGCTTAGTTGGTATTCCCCCTTCTATCATTCCCTTCCCCCCTATCTAACATTCCTTTTCTCTTCCTCGCTTACCATCTCCCCTTTTATTTTCAATAATTTCTCAAAAATCTCTTAACCTTTCGTGCCACGACAAAAAAAAAAAAATCACTTTCCCCCCGTTTATATTTCTATTTCATCCATTCCATTCCATTCCATTCACGTTTTACTTTATCATAATTAACGCGCAAACAATTTATCCAAACCATTCTCTTATAATTCATAAAAAAAATGGAAGAGGGTTATGGCTCAGCGAGGCTTTCAAGGGTCGACCGTAGGAAAACTCTTATCAAACCTGAGAGGTACCAGGCGGCTGCACCTATGTTGCCCGGTAAAGAAAAAGAATCTTTTGACGTTTGGGTACTTTTCTCTAAAATTGTCACTTTCTGGGCTCCTGGTGCGCTTCTGTCTTCTGTTGGTGGTCTTCACGATGAACCATCACAGCAAGCTTGGCGTGAAAAAGTTGCTTTATGTTTTATTGCCCTTGTAATGGGTGGTACCGTCGCTTTCCTAACGGTCGGTTTTGCTGCTGTGTTATGTCCTCCAGATCAAGCAAGTAATCCCGAATTATTTAAAAGCTTTGGCGAAGCTCCAGGTAATTTTTTTTTTTTAAAAAAATAATTAGATTATTCGGTAGTTATTTTTAATATTCAAAAAATAATAGCTCGAGTTATTGGCAGTCCACTGAAATTGGACTTAAAAGTAATTCGAGTCATTTGACAGTCCATGACTGCCAAATAACGCAAGTAATGATTTTTTTATACATAAAAAAACTGCCAAATAAATTCGTCGTTATTGAATGCAAATGAAGCATCAATAACTTTCGTATCTGGCAGTAAATTTTATATGTCAGTTTCCGAGTCCCCTCGGGCCCCGGACCTGAAATTATTAAATTTACAACTAGATATCAATTATTTTTCTGGTTAAATATTATCATGTGATCCTACTGAATGCAAATGAACCACCAATAACTTTTCGTATTTTCGCTGACATATTATCATGTGATCCTGTGGATTATCTAGAAAAGTTATTGAAATTCAAAGCATTCAATAATTATATATTACACGCGTCATTTGTCTCAATTCTAATCTAAATATTTTCTTTTAGGTTTTCTTGGCGTTCTTGGTTGGCAATTCGATGTACAAAATGCAAAAAGTCCTTCAAATTTTAATTTTCAAAAATTGTCAGTGGAACAAAATAGTCAAGATATTACAAACTACTTTTTACGTGATAACTCTCAAATTCCTGCTTGTCAAGATCCCTCAATTCAACAATTTGCTGCTGTAAAACTATCACTTTGTGTACCTGCAAGTTCTTGTCCACTTGATCCTATTAATGCTACCACTTTTAAAGAATATAATATTGTTAACACTACAAAAAAAGTTGGTTATGATTGGGCTCAAGTTGAGAACATAACAAACTATTTAGTCATTGATGGTAGTGTACTTAATCTTAAAGGTTATATGGCTGCAAACCCAAAACCAATTCCAGGTGATATTGTGGACACTGTCATTCGTGCTGTCTTAAACACAACTTATGGAAGAGATGCTACACGTCTTTTCTTTGGTAGAGCTGATTTAAAATCTTCTGTTGCTTGTCTTGTTAGCAAGTATTATGCAGGAAATATTGATAAACAAACAATTGGATGTTTCACCTCTGAACTCTTCTTATACGTTTCATTAACTGTCATTTTGAGTATCGTCTTATGTCGATTTTTTATGGCTTGTGTTTTTGATTGGTTTATCTCTCATCGTCTTGCTCTTGAACCAAAAGTTAAAAAATCCGGTTCCATGTCACCAATTTCTGATAAACCTTGGACTCCTGGAACTTGTACTATTAGAAAAGGAATGACAATGGACGATGTTGGAAAAGATTTATTTACCGTTTTGCTTGTTACTTGTTATTCTGAAGATGAAGTTGGTATAAAATGTACTTGTGAATCTATGGCTGCTACTATCTATCCTGATGATCGTAAATTATTATTCCTTATTTGTGATGGTATCATTATTGGTAGTGGTAATGAAAAGAGTACGCCTGATATTTGTGTAGGTTTAATGGAACTTGGTAAGTTTATTATTATTATTATTATTATATCAATTGAATACATTATTTTAATGAATATCTTATATTTATCTTTATATTTTGTCTCTTATAATTATAGAACCTGAATTTTCTGATCCACAACCTCAAAGTTATATTGCTGTGGCTGCTGGTTCTAAACAACATAATATGGCTAAAGTCTATGCCGGATTCTTCCCTTATGAAGGTCGTCGTGTTCCCATGATTTGTGTTGTAAAATGTGGTGCTCCTGAAGAACAAGGCAAAGCAAAACCTGGTAATCGAGGAAAGCGTGATTCTCAATTAATTTTAATGAACTTCTTCAGTCGCGTTACGTACAATGATCGTATGTGCGCTTTAGATTTTGACTTATTTAGAAAAATTCATCATTTAATGGGCGTAACTCCTGACTTTTTCGAAATCGTTTTAATGGTGGACGCTGATACAAAAGTATATCCTAATTCACTTAGACTTTTGATTAATTGTATGTACAATGATCCCTTCATTATGGGTCTATGTGGTGAAACGAAAATTGCCAACAAACGTGACTCATGGGTAACAGCTATTCAAGTTTTTGAATACTACATTTCACATCACCTGGGTAAAGGATTTGAATCAGTATTTGGTGGTGTTACTTGTTTACCTGGTTGTTTCTGTATGTATCGTCTCAAAGCTCGTAAAGGTGACGATGATTGGGTACCAATTATTACAAAGCCAGAAATTGTTCATGAATATTCTCAAAATACCGTTGAAACCCTCCATCAAAAGAATTTATTACTTCTTGGTGAAGATCGTTTCTTAACAACTCTTATGTTAAGAAACTTCCCTCATCGTAAAATGATGTTTTGCCCACAAGCCGTTTGTAAAACTGTTGTACCTGACAGTTTCAACGTTTTACTTTCTCAAAGACGTCGTTGGATTAACTCTACAATTCATAATCTTTTGGAACTTGTTCTCGTTCGAAATCTTTGTGGAACTTTTTGCTTTTCTATGCAATTTGTCGTATTTATGGAATTGATTGGTACCGTGGTTCTTCCTGTAGCTATAATATTAACTTACACCTTGATTTTCTCAATGATTACGAAACCACCAACTGACTTTACTGAAGCTATCCCATTGATGATGTTATGTATGGTTCTTGGTTTACCAGCCATTTTAATTTTGATTACTACACGTAAATTAATATATATCGCATGGATGATGGTTTATCTTTTGGCTTTACCGATATGGAATTTCGTTTTACCAACTTATGCATACTGGCATTTTGACGATTTCTCTTGGGGTGAAACCAGAAAAGTTGAAGGTGAAGATGGTGGTGATCATGCAAAGAAAGAAGGTAGTTTTGATGCTAATAAAGTTCCATTGAAACGTTGGGAAGATTGGGAACGTGCTCGACTTCGTAGAAATAAACGTATTGAACGTCAAGAACGTCAAAATCAACCAAAGGGACCATCACATTTGACACATCAAGTTTATAATGGTGATGATCAAAGCAGCTCATTACTCGCATCAAATTACGTAAATTATGAAGGAGATTATCAAGATACAATGTCAATGCATTCTACCGCTTCAGGAGATATCGGACCTCCACAACAATATTACGATTATTCGACCAGCAGATATCCACCGCAAGATTATGACCATTATCAACAAGAACAATTTGATAACATGAGGTTTGGCAATACACATGATTTACAACGTGCACCCTCACCAAGACCACCAGAAAACAACTATTAAAACAGAATTCCCTAAATATATCCGTTTATTTCCTTTAAACAACTACAACCCCATACATAGAATAAAATTTGCCAAATTATTAGAAAATTTACACTTGAGAGATTTTTTTAATTTTAAAATTGTATTTACCTTATTAGATAATGTATTATACATTTAATGTTAATACTTGTCAAAAAATGAACAGATTTCCTGATCGTTTTTTTTTTTTTTTTTCGAGGTCGGAAATCCATTATTGGAAAAATGTTTATATCTTTGGAAAATTTTTTATTAAAATGAAAATTTGTTTATATCGAAACAAGTAATTTCCCTTTATTTATTATTATTATTATTATTATTATTATTATTTAAAAGGCTCGTTTTCGATATTTGTCAGGTTACAAAAATTTTAGCTCCGGATACAAACTAATATGTGCATTTACCTATTATATAATAAAATTGTCTTATCCAGTGTTAATGATAATCGTCGTGTTCATGACTTTCTAGCTATATATTGCAGTTTGAATAATTGTATTTAAAGAATTTATAATGTTTAAATAATGGTATATACTGTAAAATACATATTATATTTTAACAAAAAATTTAGAACCTATACAAAAATATTTTAATTAAAAAAAAACTTTATACTGTACCAAAAAAAAAACGATATTTCTTGTTTTCTTCCCTATATTTTTGCAAATATGACGTTAGATATCAAGACTGTTATATAGTCTCCCCAATTTTCTATTATCCAACTGTGATAACCCATGAGACGTAACTCTGGTCAAATTTGCAGATCATTTGGCCAGCTTGAAGTCAAATAATTTCAAACCAGGCCAAATGATCTACAAATTTGACCGGAGCTACGGCTCATGGGTTTTTCTATTTATCAAATTCCACAAATCCACCGGCATGAAATCTTCGTATATCTTCCAACCCTCTCTTTTTCTTTATTATCTTCTCTCAACTTTCTATCAAAGAGCTAAAAAAAAAAAAAAAAAAAATTAAAAAATTTTTATAATTTTGGCCAGAATTTGATAATTCCAGCCAGAATTACACCTGACACCTTGGCTAACCCACCCATCTACCAAAAAAATTTCTATTAGCTAGGGATGTGTTATATAAATTACAACTTTACATTACATGTAATTTTATATAAGTTTCTGAAACCCAAATTTCATGTAATTTTACATAAAGTACCGGATTTACAAAACATTATTGCATCATTTGATTTGAATATCATGTGTTCAAAATTACGATTATATGAAAAATTGATTTACAGAATCTTACACAAAATTACGCAAAATTTCAGTAATTTTACAACCCTACTGTCAGCTTCCTTATTGGTATTATACCGCACAAAAAATGCGCGGCAGATCCTCGATTTTGATTGGCTAACGGCCGAGGATCTTCAAAATTTTGGCCCGCATT